GAGGAAAGGCTCTTATACTGTGTAATCTCTTTATAACGAATTTCAAGGGACCGAGCATTTTATTCTTTATATAGAAGTTTCGTTTTAGGGAGGGAAGAATTAATGTACGGGTATTGGGTAAACCAATTAAATTTAACATTATAGAGAGTTTTTCGATATAACGAATGACGTTATAAAGAGTTTACACTGTATTTGAGCTGTTTATTAATTTCCACCTGTTCGTCAGCTTTTGTAATTGTTCTTATCTTAAGTCTTACGTTTATATTATATTGAAATTATACCCACTTCAGCCTTAGATTTACGTGTGTTATCTGCTTAAAAAAGTTGTAAATAGAAATACTTAATGCGCTAACTTCTACCTTCGCATTTCGGTTTTAGTTTTCTCGTAACAAGAATTCTAAGAGTCTTCAGATGTTTTATGTATAAATGACGCTTACATGAGTAATGAATGTAAGAACTTATAAAGGTATATGAAACTACAGTACTATACTGAAGTACTGTAGACAGTGAAGAGTTTTGTATTTAGTTTTAAATATACGCTTGCCCGAGAAATGAAGCATTTAAAATGGAAATATTTATGGTGTTGGATTCTTATATCATAACCCCCAGCTCGCTAACTTTCCAATCAGTATTAGATCTTCTTTAACGTCACTCATTCTATCCGCGACCGAAGACTGCAACTACAGGACTTCTTATTCTGTTATAGGCTTATCAAAAAGATGGACAATACCTGTAAAATGCAAAATTGTGAAGTGACAAAAAAACATTATTTATTAATATTATTACCTCTCCTAGCAAATAGTCGAAAAAGGGCAGATGTCTAGTGTTGTTGTAGTTTTATAAAACTCAACATTTCAATCGCGATTATGAGAGGTACGAATTACCGGTGCAGTTCCTATACGACAGCCGCCAAGTGTCTAGACTCCGATAGTACAAACCAATCCACTTGAAAACTGATCTTAACACCTACAATTCTATAATTTTCAAACAATATTGTCCAATATTTTCTAGAGATTCTTGTAAGTAGTTAATATTTTATGAAATCCACTTGGACTGATTTGATTTTGTGTGGTTTAGATTTATATTGCCGTCAATAGATGTCACTATTGGCCCGCTTCTCAATAATTGACTTTATATTACCAAATTTTGGACGCTCTAAAAACGTTTCATATTAAAAATATTACGTCTCATCTCAATGGTTTAAAGAAACATTTTTACAACAAATTCACTGACGGTCATTATTTAACAGTGTTAGCCTAGTGGCTTCAGCATGCGACTATCATCCTTGAGGTCGTAGGTTCGATCCCCGGCTGTGCACCAATATACGCATTTTATACTCGCGTGAACGGTGAATGACAACATCGTGAGGAATCAGCGTGTGTCAGACACAGGAGGCTGATCGCTTACATGTCTATTAGATTGACAAATGATCATCAGATCAAACAGATTTTTGAGGCTCTGACCTAAAAAGGTTGTAGCGCCACTAGCATAGAGCCTTAAATAAGTAAGTGGAATGCGAGACTATTAATTCTATTAACCGTCCCACTGGTCAATGTTATTGGATCTTTGGCGCCACACAATGAAATATAAAGAATTACATTCCATTTAAACAAAATAGAACCGACTCCGAAAGACTAAAAAGTATAAAATAGCAAATTTATTACATTAATTAGGTGATTTGACCTGTTCATTGCTGTGTCATCAATCGTTATCAGCGAGAGACTGCCAAACCAACTTGACAGATGTTTAACATTGTGACTAGTCTATTGAAATGTTTTCCAAATATCGATTTATGTAATAAATTCTCATTTATTTCCTTTGGATAAAGTTCATTTAAGTAACCTCGGCCATATTGTCTTTGCTTGTTCCCAAGCCTTTAGGTTTATCCTTTATTGTATTATCTTCTTTCATAATTAATAATAATATTTAAAAAAAATCAGTGGCGCTACAACCTCTTTAGGTCTTGGCCTCAGATTTCTGAATCTGTTTCATGATCATTTCTAAATCTAATAGGCAAGTAGGTGATCAGCCTCCAGTGCCTTCGACTTTTTGGGTCTAAGACTTTTCGGTTTCCTCACGATGTTTTCCTTCACCGTTCGAGCAAATATTAAATGCGCACATAGAAAGAAGGTACATAGGTGCACAGCCGGGCATCGAACCTACGACCTCAGGGATGAGAGTCGCACGCTGAAGCCACTAGGCCAACACTACTCTCAAACAATATTAAAATTGTTCTTAAAATGTTTATGTCCATATTTTGTTTTTAACAAGCTTTGTTTCCTTTTGATGTCTTTGTTTAGCTTATCTCGCGTGTAGTTTCCCTACGTTTTACTTGAAACTGGCATAAAGTTAAAACTATTACTATTTAAAAAAACAAAGTATATTTAAATGTATGGTCATTTTATATTAAGGAGATAACATTTAATTATTTAATCAATTACTTTTAGACGATCTGGAATTTTCTAATAAGATAATTCCCTACTACCAAAATTAAGTCATTAATACTATGGGATACGGTGCAGTATGTTGTTCATTTTACTTTAAAGCTGTATATATTTTCTAAGCACAGATGTTTACCGAGGTTCAAACGATGACATTGGGTTCGATAATCGCACACTTGTCAGCCTACCAGAACTACAAATATTTAAAAAATATCTCGTACGCACAGTTTTCATTTATAATAAAATTTGATACTTCCAATACGCAGAGAAGCACTATAGGGGCGAGGGGGGTCCTTTGATTTTCTTATTTGGTGATTACGTCAACAGTAATTATTATCTACACATTGTCTATGATTTGCAACGACATGCATTTTCGAGGATTCCTACAAAAAATTATATGTTTATGTATTATTTTTAAGAATTTTGCTTACTTTTGGACAAGAGGAGGGGGGGGGATAAAGTGCAGTAAATCTGCTTACGTAATAGTGGTGTAAGCTTGTGCCCCTCAACTCGGTCATATCTCGCTAATAGTGAATTTTTCTTTCTCTCAGACAATAGGAAACATTTCTTCTCTAAGTCTTTGTTTTTAATTTATGTTATTATTATTAATTACTTAAGATGTCATGTGGAACATGGTGTAATGGTTGCAGCTCCTTACAATGTGTCAATGTGTCCAACGTTGTGTAAAAAAAACATGGCGATTAAAAAGAGTGGCGGAGAGTTTATTGCCAGTTCTTCTCTTCCGTTCTACGCCCTTGATTTGAGAACTGGCAGTAAATGTAAAATTAGAAGCATTAATATTTATTTCTTTAATGACGAATCACAAGTGTACATTGTGTTACCTACGTGAATAAATGATTTTTGAATTTAAACTCAAGACCCAAAATTAAGGACTTGTGAGGCGAAAACGGGTGATCACGTTCAGAAAAACAAAATTAAAGCAAATAAGTAACCTACTTGATCTTATTTTTCTATATTTTTATCACGTTTGGCAATAAGTTATTGATAAAACTCGAGACTTTAAAAGTTTGGAGGATTCTTGTGTTTTGAGATAGTTTTATCGATCATGTGAGTACTGAACACATAAATAAAACTTCAGACACAATAAGTCAAGTCAGGTTCCATGTTTCCAATAGTCACGTTAGTTTGAAGTGGCGTTCTCTTGCTGACCACGACTGCCTTAAAGCACTCGAAAAGCCTATAAAATAAAGCCTTAAAAGATTTTGTGTAAATTGTTTATGTTATTATACGTACATTGTTTGTTTTAAAATACAAATTAAATAATTTCTTTGCTTAGGTAATGTTCTAAAGTGTTATTCAAACAATGTATTTTTTAAGTGATACTTCTTTAGGGTAACATTTTTACGGACGAAACGCCACGAAGATGTGCAGTTTGTCAAAGAAAAGGGAGAGAGCAATTGAGACCGATTAAGAGAGAGTGAGAAGGGCGAGTTACCTTATAGAAATTCTATTATTAAAATTAAAATTTCGTAAAGAGAATTTATGAAATATTAGTATTTTATTATTTATGCAAAATAATTTACTTACTGAAATCTCAAATGACGAATTGTGTTTTTATTATCGAAGAAATAAATTAAAAAATTTGTATATATTTCGACAGGTTTTATATTTAAATGACCATTAAATTAATTAAATTCCTAACATATCTTCCTTTTTTCCGCCCTAAGTCTCGGAAATAAAAGGTTTTAGATTTGTATAAATATGAACAAGACTTAAAAATTACTATGTCAAAGAAGTTTCACTTCTGATATGTGTACTTTGTACGCACGCACTGTTTTTTTCTATTACGGGACTACCCCATAATAGCCCAAAGCCCCACAATTTCACAATCCGCCCATGACTATTGTGTATTCCAAAGTTAACTAAAACTGTAGTGAAGTTAGTCAAAAGTAATGTTTAAAGAACTTTATTTCTCATTACAAAATTATTTTATTTACATGAGAAATTTAATATTATATACGAACGAGATATACGTCGCCATCAGCTAGCCCAATTTTAGTCTAATGGGCTCATTCTGATGTGTATCTTTAATGCCCTTTTGAACTGATTAATCACGCTAATGTAAACGAACCTTAGACGGCAACCGATTAAACAATTGCACACCCTCATACCTAATAGATCTCTTTAAATAATTTGTGCGCGGCTTTGGCAAGATAAGCAAACAAGTACCTACTAATTATTTAAAATTGTGCTATAGAGAATAGATTATTGAAAGAAAAATAATAATAATATTTTATTTTGGTGATATTTGTAATTCCCATCACTAGATAATGTATTAAGATACTATAAGTCTACTACTGACAAGCTACCATAAAAGTATAATAAAAATAGAAACGGTAATTTCAAAATCGTTTATTTATAAATTTTAAAGCGTCTTTTTAATCTAAACTTATTTACATTTCCAATCTACTCGTATTATATGTACATTCGCCAAGTTAGTATTTAAATTACATTGTTTTATAAACTTACTATAATTTGACATACAAAATAAAATTTAGAAATAAATCTCATATCAAACATCTTGGGAGTTACTAAGGTCTACAACGCAGTGAATTCCGATGAAAAGTTATCTCTTATTGATTCCTTAAGATCCCCTGGATTCGCTCCAGGTAAGGACCACGTAGAACTGCCGGTAGCAGTTACTCTTGGTCCCATATTATCGTATGTTGGCCTTAAAAGACACGTTCTACTTCTTTTTGGAAGAGTTGAACCTCCGCCTAACAAATCTGGAAACTTATCTTTATGCCCTTTCACCTGTACCGATATGAAGATGTTTCCATACGGTGCCGGTAAAGAGAATTCCGCAGGGGGAGGGGGGTAGCCTCCTGAAGGTCCTTCTATCGTTATATGTACAGGTTCCATACAATTTTCGCTTGAGACTGACCGCTCGAACATTTCAAACCCGTATGATCCCATATCTGTACTGGTTCGCTCGCAACTCGCTGCTAGTGATGTATCAATGAGTTTCTTCTCTTGGTCTGTGAAGCTTCTACTCGGTGGCACTCTTCGGCGTGTTTTCCAACAAATACACGTACCTATTATCCCAGTTCCAGCCATGGCCAACATAGAACCTGCAGCTATGAAAATGTTGGAATAGTCTGGCGCGCTGCGGGCGGTCGCCACTCTCGCTTTAGGTAAAAATATTGTCAAATACGCGTTAGCCTCTCCCACTATGCTTTTAGCGGTGCACTTCCACTCTCCAGCGAATTCACTTGTTACGTTATTTATAGTTACATTCACCCACTGTGCACTTTTATTTACGAAATCATCTTTATACTCGTTGAAGTGCCTGAAACGGTATCTATAAATCGTTATTTCACTATTTCTGTTGGAGTTATTCGTGATTTCTTCTAGATGAAACGTCCAAGACACCGTCGGCATAGGATCACCTCTGATCAAACAACCAAAGTAGATGTCTGCGCCTAGTTCAGTTCTTATGACGGAGGGACTGGTTATGGCGGTGGGCGGACAAGCCATGTCTTCACTATCCAGGTCTCTCCATGTAATTTGGGATTTACTACGTGGTCCTACACAGACTAATTCTTCATTGCCAACGTTACTATTAAGATACCATTCGTGAAAGTTTCTTAGCCGGCAATCGCAATACCAAGGATTATCCGCAAGAGTGAGTGTCTTCAAAACGGGCAGATTAAACGTATCAGGATGGAGATACGACAAATGGTTTTGGTGCACGTAAATAGTTTCGAGAGCCCGCAGATTCACGAAAGCAGAGGGGTGCACTTTCCTTAGCCGACATCGTGAAAGTTCTAATTTCTTCAAATGTTGTAGAGTGGGGAATTGCTCCGCAACTAATTGACTCAAAGGATTGTCATTTAGGACCAAGAGCCTTAAACGGTCGTTCCCTTTGAAAGTGTCAGGAGAGAGTTGAGTCAGTTGGTTGGATGAAAGGTCTAATTCTATTAAAATACGGAGCTCTCTGAAAGCATTGTGATGCAAGAAATGCAAATGTGTGGCACTCAAGTTTAGCCGCTGCAAGTTTAGTAATTCCGTGGCGACAAAGGCGTCCTCGTACAGTTCTCTCAGAATGTTTCCGTGCAGATCGAGAACTTGGATGTCGGTCGCTAATCGAGGTATTTGAGTTAGGCCGGCGTTTACACAGGACGCGGTCTTTTTGCCGGAAGACCATTTGCAGTGGCATTCTGTTATGTATGCACAGTTCAGCCAGTCGCTTTCTGATACTTGGACAAGCAGAGTTAAAAGAAAGCACGACAGTGCATTAATTCCCATTTCATATCCACTTCCTTTATTATTTACCTGGAACAAAAGATTATATGTGAGTAACAAAGTAACATTGAGCAGTGTTAGCCTATTGGCTTCAGCGTGCGACTCTCATACTTGAGGTCGTTGGTTCGATCCCTGGCTGTGCACCAATGGACTTTCTTTCAATGTGCACATTTAACATTTGCTCGAACGGTGAAGGTAAACATCGTGAGGAAACCGATATGTCTTAGACCGAAAAAGTCGGCGTGTGTCAGGCACTGGAGGCTGATCACCTACTTGCCTGTTAGATTTAAAAATGATCATGAAACAGATTCAGAAATCTGAGGCCAAGACCTAAAGAGGTTGTAGCGCCACTAATTTATTCTTAACAACGTAACATCACTGCTCTTTTAGTAACACACCTCAAATGGTCTTAGAAATTTAGATTTCTAGCGAAATTTGAAATGAATACAAATTTAAGATTTTCTAAAACATCACTTATATTGCGATAATTTGTTCTTGTTCCACATGTATGTATTGCCATTTATCAAAGTTATGTCAAGATCAAGCATACCGATACGAATTAATTAACTTGTAACTTGTCAGGCTTCTGAACTATTGATTTAACAGAAAAATGTATTACATAAAAAGGGGGAAATTTCTATCTACAAGTGGCGTTCTCTTAAAAGTTAATATTGCGTGAATATGTATTATTGTTTTTGCAATAATATAATTTAGGTTAAATAATATAAGGTCAAAGAAATTAAATATTTGACTAACATAACTCAAGAGTATTTACTTTAGATTTACTTTAATTATGACTCTAGTTTGTCAAAAATGTATTTTGACATACTTAAAAATCTTAGCGTAAATGACATCTTTTACATTTTTAAAAACCATAAATGTGGATTTTTTTATAGAATAGGGTGGGAACGTCATCACACCATCACATCACACTGCTCTCGAAGCTTCCAGCCTATGGGCTTCCCGAGAAATTATGCGATTGGATCTCCAGCTTTCTGGCCGATCGGAGCATCAAGGTCGTCATCGACGGAGCATGTTCCGACCTTAAACCTGTGAACGCTGGGGTCCCACAAGGCTGTGTTCTATCCCCGACCCTATTTCTTTTGCATATCAATGATATGTTGCAACTTAGCAACATTCATTGCTATGCGGATGACAGCACTGGGGATACTTTTTACACTGGCCGGGCAGGTATTTCTCGGGCAGTTGTTGATGAGTACCGGAACAAACTTGTGTCTGAAGTCGAAACTCTACTACGTGGAGTCTCAGACTGGGGCAGACAAAACCTAGTCCAATTTAACCCCAAGAAGACACAAGTTTGCGCGTTTTCCGCTAAAAAATCACCCTTTGTCGCTACTCCTCTTTTCGAAAACACTCTTCTTAAAGCCACAGCCAGCATTGGAATACTTGGCGTTGACATATCGAACGACGTTCAGTTTCGCGGTCACTTGGAGGGAAAGGCTAAATTAGCCTCCAAAATGCTTGGTGAGCTCAGCAAGGCGAGGCGGTACTTCACTCCGGGCCACCGCATGCATCTATATAAAGCGCAAATTCGGCCCCACATGGAGTACTGCTCTCACCTCTGGGCGGGGGCTCCCCAGTACCAGCTCCTTCCACTTGACCGTATACAACGCAGAGCGGTTCGAATCGTCGACGACCAATTCCTCTCCGAGCGGCTTGATCCTTTGGCGTTGCGTAGAGATGTGGGGTCACTCTGCATCTTCTACCGCATTTACCATGGAGAGTGTTCAGAGGAGTTGTTCGGATTAATACCTGCAGCTGAGTTTCATCATCGGACGTCGAGACAGAATACGAAATTCCACCCGTATCACCTCGACGTCCGCCGTTCCACAACTGAGCGTTTTTCAAGGCAGTTTTTGCCGCGCACCACCACTATGTGGAATCAGCTGCCCACTGAAGTATTTCCGAACCAATTCGACTTAGGGTCCTTCAAGAAAAGAGTGTACCAATTCTTAAAAGGCCGGCAACGCACTCGCGAGCCCTCTGGCATTGAGAGTGTCCATGGGCGGCGGTGTCACTTAACATCAGGTGAGCCTCCTGCCCGTTTGCCCCCCGTTCTATAAAAAAAAAAAAAAAAAAACCCCATGGAGATATTTGAAATGTATAGATAGATAGTGTTATTTGTTAATTAGTATTTCTGTTTGTCATTCATTGTGGTTTTCCTGTACTTTTTTGTATCTTGTATTACTGTTAATAGTCGCTACAATCAAATAAATTATTTTGTTATTTATAATCCTACAGCTAACATTAATTATATTAAAAAAAACAACTAGCAGACCGGCCAAGCGTTGCTGTGGCTAAGGTTTTAATTATATTACATAGTAGTAAACTATTCAAAGGAAACGGTAGGAGAACACCAGTCATGGGGACCACCATGCTTTTTTGATGGTAATGCCATTAAATTGTAGCTTATGTGAAACGTTGGTACTTTCAACACAGCGCCATCTGTTAGAAGTGTGACTATCAAATAATAAACAAATATTTTGCAATAAAATAATATTTCGGGTATAAATTGAGATGTAAGCTATCCTATCTTTTAAGTTAGATCAAACCGCACACGGTGTGCAAATTTGATTGAAATCGGTTCGGTAGTTTAGGAGTCCATAGCGGACAAACAACGTGACACGTAATTTATATATATTAACCATCGTTATTATTACGATGTAGCTAAAGATCAAAGATGGAATACGTTATATGTAGAGACAAAAAGGTTCAAATAATAAGTAAGGAAATAGTCAATAAAAAATATTAAATAATACCTAATTCGGCTGTGTGATGGTGTGAAAGTGAGGGTGTGTAGGTGAGCAGTGCTCATGATGCAGGTTATTAAATGGTATTCTTAATACAAGGAGTATTAAGAATATATATATTCCGCGATGGCTTGAACAAGTCAAGTTATATATTGGTCGTTGTATGTATAATGTTTATGTGAAAAGGATTGTAACAGAAATGAAGATTATATAACTCCAGATATAATTCAGTTTATCCGAGGCGAGGTTATCAAAGATCTGTTAATATAAAAAATTACAACGGGTTTTGGGCCGCACATAATTTAAATCTTAAGTTAATTCAATAGTAATCTCTTGACGTATAGGGGAAGATTGTTACCCTTCGTACGCGGGGCACATTCATACAGTCGAAATAAAACTTGAACGAAACAAAGTACAGTCTTGTTTTTGTATGTGTGCATGAGTCGAGGTACGAACTATACATAATCGAAGTTTCGCGAAATTCGCACCGATGAGAATGAAGTTACAGGCATGGACGTGTTTTCGCGCTCGGTAAGTAATTTTTGATCAATGTTTTTGTCTCTTGTTACCGTAGATAAAATAAGTTTTCGTGTAGAGTATTCTATCAGTAACTAGCAAAATATACTTAGATACGTCTCCAATACTTAATTTATGACGTTTTCCTATTAATATTAAAATAAGTTATATTTTGTTGTTATTCAGTTAGTGGGGTACTTTCGGACAGCACTAGATGGGGCACATTTGAACGAATTGTACAACTAAATTTGTATGAAAATATTTTGTCGACACGAACTGTAATTTTCATACAAATTAAGTTTTCGACTTGCTACATACAAATAATAATAAGGCATCTTGACTAAACCCTCTGGTAGGTAGGAAAGATTGTGTTAGTGTGCTAATTGCTCTAATATTTCCATTAACTTTGTCCTGTGTTGCTATCATTGCTATCGTCGATGTATTTTTATTACCTATTTTTATTATCTTTATTAAGGTTGATTTTGATGCATGTGAACCAGATGCTTTGAATAATTTACCAATCCATCAAATAGTAGTTCCTTCGAAGTCAGTTTTGACACCTTAAGGGTTTCGACTCTATACGCATGTTGTAAGAAGTAATAAAACAAACAAAATGACGACGGCCAGGAAAACCACGAATTTATACTGCCACACCCGAAAATAAGAAGTGCTAATCCGCACCAAAGATTAAAGAATGTGATTCTAAATTTAAGATACCTAACTAATTAAATTTTGGTTTTCTTAAGAAAAGCTATGTAATTTTTGTTCACTATAATTAAAGTATTTTATTTTTGTTTATTAGAAGTTAAATCTTTATTTTTGTGTTTAATTTCATTGCTAATAAATGAATTTTGATTTATATGTGTCGTTTTAATCGCACGTACGGAACTACCCCACAGCGTACGAAGGTACCCTCAACACTGTACGAAGGTGCCCCGTTGATGGGGTAGATTCGTACGTTTTCCAGATTTAGTTTAAATCATAATTATGGTTGAACCATCAGATGAAATCATTTGTCATTTTCTTATATGAATCTCAGATAGTTAGACTATAAATTTAAGCTTGCAGATGATTGATTCATGGAAAAATAAAATAATAAAAAAATAAAATGTGAAAACCGTACGAAGGGTCCCGACCTTCCCCTATATTGCGTTACGTATATGGATAATTATTTAGATCTATGAGAGTTATGGCAGAGCAGTGGTGGCGTAGTGGATTCAGCGTGCGACTCTCATCTCTGAGGTTGTAGGTTCGATCCCCGGCTGTGCACCAATGGACTTTCTTTCTGCGCATTTAACACTTGCTCGAACGGCGAAGGAAGACATCGTGAGTAAAACAAATTGCCTTAGACACAAAAAGTCAAAAGTGTCAGGCACAGGCTGATCTCCTACTTGCCTATTTGATTGACAAAAGATCATGAAACAGAAACAGAAATCTGAGGCCCAGACCTAAAAAGATTCCGCTGATTATTTTTTATGGGATAGAAAATGTAGTATTTCTCTTGATGGTCATACAAGTCATGGCCAACGTATACAAAAAACACCACTAAATCCTTCGAAGTAAATATTTTCACTGCCGGGAAATTCCAAGTTGGCCGCTTTTCTATAAAGCGAAGTTTTCCCAGCATTAGATTATGCAGAATGTTCCTTTATGCGTTGTTGTGAAGTTATAAAGCTTAATAGACTTGGGGCTGTTTTGATATTATATGCAATTGTA